TCTTCATTGTTTCAAGTCCTTGAGGATTTCCTGTTACATAGATGAAATTAAGTCCCTTTTCTGTTGGTAAGTTGTCAAGTGGGTCCTTCACTCACCAATATGTCAGAGTGTATTATCTCTGGCTTAAAGTCACAACTGATCCCATGTCATCTAAACCCTGTTGCCAAGTCTGTTTCTCCAGGGCTTCTGAAATCTCGGGTAATGAAGATCAAATGCTCCACAACGTTAACAATGGGAGACTTGTTGATGTTTCCCAAATCTGACAATATTGCTTGCCACAAGGCATGATTATTGGTGTAATTCAGAATAAGCACTTTGATATTTTTAAAGATTGCCCATTTTAACCAGGTTGGCATACCAGAGGAATTCAGATGCTTACACCGCACTTGTAAATTCAGAAAGATGACTGAGCACAGATTGTCAAATATGTTCTATGGGAATTCAATGGAGATACTCTCTACTGACTCTATCAAGCTTTGAAATATCCTAAAGCCCGCGTTGTCGGGCGAGACTGTGCCGTTGAAGAGCGTGGAGCTGATTGGAATATACTTGAATAATTTGATGCCTTTCCCTGCCCAATGGTGTTGAGATTGTTTTGGTGGATTGATACCCAAAAATGAGAGAAAGTGGGCAAAGATCCCGAGTCCAAATCCATGATATCTAACTTAGGAAAGTTGATTGATCATAAAGCTCAGAACGTTTCCTGGTGCTATATGTTGCCAAGAAAGTTCTGATTACGCTGAGGGTATTACATCCGTCAAGCGGAAAAAAAGCGACAGGGAAAACTAAAAGACTATTGAGGGGAGTGGAAGGGAACTACATAGGAAATGGACACAATAAACAGAGAGAAAGTTGAAGAAAACACTGATGAAAAGGTCAAAGGAAAAGTCAAAGGACAAATTGGAGACAAAGATGAAAAGGAGGGGGGAGAGAAAGAGAGAAAGAGAAGGGATGGCCACTGGAATCATTGGAGCAAGTCGCTCCTAAAAAGCTGATGAACTCCAAATAAGATAATCAGAATGCTCAACTTGGCCAAGTGACTCCAAAGCTTGAGCCTCAGGTATCTATAGCCTATGTGGCGGCCATCCAAAAAATATGTACTCATTTCAGTTTCACATATATCAATCACAATATGAACATCCAATGTATGGTGCTCAAAGACTGAACAGTTTCATTACATTTTGACAAATTAGATCCTCAATTTGAAATTGATAAGAATCAAATAACTTTGAATGATTTTACATTCCAATCTCTAATGTATGGTTTCATAAGCTTTATTGTCCTACTGCAACTATCTCTTCAAGTGAGTGGGTTAGATTCCATTGCAATGGCACGCCCCCTACTCGAAACAAGCAACTGGTAAGATGTGATCCAACCTGTGCCTCCCAGACGCCGCAGAAATTTATTTGACACCTTGCTTTTGCCAGGGTTATATGCTTTCCACCTTGAGGGTACAAAAGGAGTGGATCATCAACCGTTGCATTTGTGGCCAAAACTGAACCATGGACAGCTCCTGCCAGGACTAGCAATGGCTTCTGTGACTGACAGTGTATCTCCTGTATTTCACTGACCACCGCGGTCTTTGCCGCCCTGACCTTTTTTAAAAAAAATCAAACTGCAGGTCCCATATGACATCCTTCACTCAGACTTGATCTAATTCCCAGAGGCCTTCAACAACTCATCAAGTATAGCCATGCCCCACAATGCAATCAATGCTACAGTGTACGCCACCTGATATTCCAATTTCCCATCTGATAACTTATTTTTTTGGTGCATTCAATAGAGCTTCAATTCTAGGTGCTGCTTTGTGCAGGTAATCAAAGTCATGGAAAGGATGCCATACCTCCAGTCCACATAGGTAGGTCTAAACTGTATTAGATTTTATTGGAGTACTTCTGGGTTCATACCTTCAGGAATTAGCTTTGGATCAGCTGAAATGACAAAGTGGTAGAAGATTGTTGGGTCAGTTGGTAATAATGAGGCCATCAAATTTGTCAACCCAGCATCATAGCACTTCATGATAGCTGGTGACCAGCTTCTGCTCATCATGTGAGTCTGGATTGGATCATCAGTACACAAATTGATGCCACAGCCATGTGGTCCTTTTGAAAATTCCATTGTGGATGGTATAAATAACTAAGGTGATTTGATTTTTGGTTTGCAGGCACATGCAAAAAAAAGCATTAGGCAAGAACAAAATTTAGTCTCAGAAAAGCAGGGCAAAGCAGATTAAAATTGGTCCGGCTCTCCAACCTGTCATAAAGAGCAATTTATCATGGAAAACCAAACTTGGGTTTCATTGTGTTTGTCCTTGGTTTTATCAATATTTCCTTGATCAAAAAAAGGTTACTCACCTTCTTCCAACAACAACAATTAAGGCAAGCTTAAGTGGTACAAGTTGACTTATTTGGACCATCTTGGTCTTTGGCCATGTGTTACTCATCAACACAATGCAATTGATTGACAGTCTGGTTTTGTCAAATTTTCTACATTGATGACTGGTTGTAAGGTAAAGAGAGAATATACTTAAAAGCCCTGTGCAAATGGGATGGTTGTAGAGAAAAAATCTGACATTGAAGATGCAGGTTGAATTTCTTATTGTGGGTTTACTATTTATATGAAAAAGTATCATTTTATCACAGCATGATTGTGATGACTACAAACTACATATTCCATGACCATTGCTCTGAAATACCTTAACATCTCATGAATCCACCCCATACACTCTCTTGATCCCAAGCTCAACTGGCTAAGCAATCCATCAAATCACAATGATCGTACTGCAGAAAGGATGCTATCAACCATACCTATAAGTTCCAGCTCAGGAAGGAACACCAACCTCCAAGAAATCCCTGTTTAAGATCAATTCAAGCACTAGGAGCGTGAGCAGCTTGTCCCTGGACATATCTATGCATCTCAATTTAAATTTCAAGTCTTCAAGTCAAATTAACATCACATTTGGTTTATCATCTTCTTCTCTGTGGATTCCATGGATTGGACTACCATTTTTGAATGTATTCTTTGTAAGGCTCTTTTGATATGAGTACACACTATTTGTTCATACAAATCTGGACTCCTAACTGATTGAAGACTAGATTTAAGGTATGGAATAGTTCAAAACTATGACAAATAAAAAAGAATAGAAACACATAAGCCTGCTTGACAGTTTCAGTATATGAAAAACATTGTAAAGAAATAATTTAGTGTGACATAATAGAATCATGATTTGAAATTAATTTTTGACATAGTGAGAATAGAAAAAAGGAAGAGAGAAACCAAACTTAACCAAGTCCGATTGTGCCTCAGATTTATTAACAACAAGTCTTTTCCTAGGCATGAGGGACTTGGGTGATATGTTGGTTTTTCACATGGTAGGTTTTGAGAATTAGTAGAGGACAAATTAAATTCACTCTACACTCATTCACATCCCATGCCTCAATCCCAAAGTTGGACTGTAGATTCTCCTGCTTCTTCTGAAGAGATCACTCTCTTCAGAATCCTCAAAAAAACAATATGATGAAAATGAAGCTCATATTCTCAAAGATCAAAATGTCTTATAATGTCATTGGGAAAGGAGGAATTTAAAAGGGTTCCCTCATCACATTCAACTGCTTTATTTTGAAAGTTGTTCTCCTCTCTGTTGCTCCAAATTGTAATGAGGTAATCATAAGACAAACATATTTTCAATGCTGTGGATTTGAGAGAACATGAATTTAGTACAGCTACAAAATGTCAGTAGATGAATGATGAGAACTGATATCTTGGGTGTCAAAGACATACCCAATTGTACCTAGCTGCATGAGTTTTGATATAAGCATATTGTACACATGAATCTTCTTCAGGGTACGGTGTAAGTGAGAAACCCTGAGCCCCAAAACTCAAAAACTCATTTCGCAACCTCAATACCTCAACCAGTATTACAAGTACATATCATGAAACCCATCAGCTGACCACTTAAACCAACTCTGTAACCCACAACTTTAAAAATGATTTGTTTCTTCATAACTTTGATGACTCAACTCTGGATTTTATTTTCTTTTGGACTGATTAATTGACTTGTAAAAAGTTTGCTTGTTATTGACCTTCCCTTGTTTCAGCCCAATCAAACCGCTCATCTTGTCCTCTGAATAGAACTCATCAACTGACTCATGAACAATGCCTTGGGGTTGAAATGGTTTCTGAAAATCTTGTCATCAAATTTGATGAGTGATTGTGATTGTTGTCAAAAAACCCATGTTGATTGATTGTTATTGAAAAATCATTCGATATATCATAATCAAAACCATGCACGATTGATGTTATCAAACAAGAGAAACCAACAATCAAATGTTATCCAAACAAAGAAACAAGTGGGATGTCTTTCAATATCTATCTTACTATGCGGAGCAGCTAACCAGTGTAGGTTGTAACTGGAACAGGAATAGATTGAATCAGAAAATATAGCAAAAGGAGAAAGTATATACAAGAAGTCTAATCTACAACTTGTTGAGTTTGACCTGCACCTGCTGGTCACAACCTTCGACACGCTCCTGGATGTACAATTCCCATTCCACGCTTGTCATCTTATCTTTTTCACCTTCAAGGCCTTTCCCATATTCACCAATTTAGAAGAAACTTGACACGAAGAGCCAAATTGTGTTGATGTTCCCTTTGATGGAATAAGCCTCCTACGGCCCACTGCATTTTTGGTGGCTGACTTGAGCGTGAAGTGCTTGACCTGGGTATTCCATACCATCTCAACAACACTGTTGCAAGCATCAAAGTTGATACCAACTGAGTAATCCGGTCAAGAAAAGATAGCACCTGTGATGTAACAGTTGCGGGGCTTCTTGACTATTTCATGGATCTTTCCGGTTGATCTATTGACATCTGCAAACATCCCAAAAGCATATGGTATGGCATCCTTGTCGCAATGTGGCTTATTGGTGAAGTTGTCACGGGCAATAGCTACACTGGAAGCCCACACTTGGCCGTTGGCTGATGTCTTCCAGTCAGGAGAATCAAAAGAAGGTTTTGGAATTTGCTTTGAATGCTGTCATGGATAGAGCGGCAAATCTCTCTGCCCAGAAATCTTTAGCACGGAAAAGATGGGAGTAGCTGCGCTCAATGTCAAGCCAGTTTCTGTCCTCCGAATGAGATGTTGCGTGCTTGAGGGCATAGTGACCTACAAAATATAGCTCATATTGGATGTAGAACAAATTATAGAACATAAACTTACCAACATCCTTCCCAGCTTCTGCAGCTATGCCTCCTCCACAACACCAGCCTAAAGCTCTCATGTCACCATACTTGCTGATCCCTTGAATAGTGCTGTTGTTGGTGACATGTCCTCTGGAAATACCATGTAAATAAAATGTACAAATTGATGATTGAAAGAATTCAAAAAGCTCCGGATGCATATCACTACAATTGTTGAACCGGGCACTCAATAGCAGGTCAAGAGTGGTTTTGTCGACAAGAACCACAATACCATGGCTGAATATCTTCATCGGCGCAAAGATAAGCTCTTCTTTGGACTTCTCTCTGATGAAGAAGAACTTTGCAGTATCTGGTAGTCCACATTCATAGGCAATGTGTTTGCTACGTGCATTTTCTTTTTGAATCCTCAACTCATCGCGCCATTGTTTTCCTTGGTTGGTCTTCTTGATTCTTTTGCGCAAATCATACTTTTGCTTTGACAGTGATTTTGGCATTTTGATCTGTGGGGAAATAAGGTGGTGAGGTTGTGTACGGTTGTTCTAGTGGTAGGTAAACCAAAATGGTGTTGAGGGTCAAATTTGTGAATGTAGAGTGCAAGTGCATTTTGATGTGTTCAATCAAGGTGGACATTGCGGCAAGATAGAGCGCTTTATATATGTTTATGATCAACCAAAAGGTCAAAAGCATGTAACAGACCATCAGACTTTTTGCCTCAATCATTGTCTTGAGTCAATTTGCTTTGTCCACTATAATCTCAATGGCTCAGGATAACTTATCAATGATTCCACTATTGTGTCTCAAGCTGGTGGAAACAATACCGCAACCGCTACGCACCGCACAGGTTTTCAGCCTATTTCAGATGCGCAGCGGTGGGCTCCGCTCATACTCACAGCGATCAAAATCGCTCTTTTTAAACAAAAATCTCATGTCGAGGTGCGTAGTGGTTTCACCACTACGCTCTTCCTATGTTGTGGCGCACATCCCGACAAAAACCGCTGACAAGACAAAAAAAATCAATTTTACTTAAAAACATAGCAAGTATTCTTTATGTGTACTCATTGTGTAATCGAGTAGAATCATTTATATTTAGAATGAAAAGTAACACAAAAAAAATTAGGACTTTTTCTCCTTCACTAAGCTTTTGATATAAGCTTCCAAAGCCATTACAGCTTCTTGAAAATTGCCATCAGGGATCATCCCCTCCTTCAACCAGGCTTGAATACCTATACCAGTCGCTCCATTGTCTTGGGAAGCATGGCTCCACGCAAGGGGGTACAGATGTCAGCAGCCGCAGAGAATGTTTGCTCGCACACACAAGATGTTGCTGAGATAGATAGGTAATCGCCAGCCAGTTGTGCAAGGTTGGGGAAATGTTGCTCATGTTCCTGTGATTCAAAGTTTTCAATCTCAGAATATATACAATTGAGAAAAAATAAGAGAGAGATTGACAAACCTTCCACCAATCAAGAGGGGTTTGATCCTTGTCGATTTTGTATTTGCCTTGCAAGTACTCCTGAAGCTCAGATTGGGACAATTTGTTATTGGTAGCAAGATTGGTTGGAGTTCCAAATATGTCGAATCCATCGGGTTCTTCGGCAGTAGCATTGTCATCTTGAGGATGCGGGGATGGAGATTGCAGGTCGCATTTTTGCACAACATGGTTGAATGCAACTTGAATAGCCTCATTTGAAGAGTCCTTGTGTTCTGGATAGAAGACCGTGAAGAACTTTGCCCAAAACCGAGGATTGAAAATGGTGGCAAGTAGGATAGCCTCGGATTTGAGTGTCTTGTCCCGGTACTTGACAAGCCACTTGATCATTTTGGCAATGGCACAGTCTAGGCTAGGGTATTCTGCAGTTTCAGCTTGGTGTGCTCTGAGTTTGGTGATGACGCGTTTGTATTCAGCTAAAACAATACATCCAGTTGATCCATTACCTTTGACTTGATCTGTTGCATTGGCGAAGGTCTGTAGCAATTGATAATCAGTATCAAGAGGTATAACAAAGTCAAGGAGAACTGTTACCTTTAAAACTTTGTTGACTAGTTTGACTCAGTGCCATTCTGCAGGTGATATGGTCACCCGCTTGAAATAGCAGGCCTTCCAATCAGCTGCAAGCATGGTGTTTATCACCTATGAAGACAAAAACTTGTCAGAGAGGGAGGTATTGAGTATTGATTACAATGATGAAGAACAAACCCCCTGAGCCTTGCAAGCTATCTTGCAACTCTCGTAGTGGCTGTTCCACCAAGTCTTGCAAGGACATTTAAGCATGCGTCCCTGGTAACCCGAACGAGTCGCACGTCCCTTGAAGACATTTTGCCTGGCTGTGCTGCTGCCAATCTGGCCAGTGACTGTATCAATCTACAGTCAGTGGAAGGCAGGAAGCAATAGGCTCAGCAAATAAATTGAAGAAAAGTTGAAGTGAGAAAGAGGAAAGAGGAAATTGACAAACCTTTTCGAGGGCCAGTGCAACCAGATCATCCTTCTTGCATAAAACCTCTTCCTGACCGACATCAAAATCCTCGTCATCAACCGCATCCGCCTTTTCAGGAAGATTACCCTCATCCTTGTTGTTGGAAGGCGAGTCATCAATATCAACTTCATCCTCACCGTTTTTGACCTTGAGAGATGGAATGGGGAGTGGAACCCTGAGTGAAGTTATCGGCTTTGTAGTACTTACCTTTTGCCCCAGTGACTTAAGCCCATTCCCAACTACTAATTTGAGCTTGTGGGCATAGCACCGGACATGGTGCGACAATCCGTTCCAGAACACCGGATTTTCAGCTGAAGAGAACATTGAGGAGAGCTTGGCAGCCATTGATCCGTTGTTTCCACCACTATCGGTGGTCTGAGCTAGCATGTAAAAAGATATAACATAATTAGATTTCGAAATAGAACCAAAAAATGCAAAGAATATTGTAGTATACTTATCTTCTTATGGAGTCCATGCCAAATCAGAAAGCAACTGATGGGTCGTGCTAATAGAGCACCAAAGTGTCGCCAGGCAACCATCTTGAGAGTGAGATGTGTGGATTGGTATTTCCAATCATTGTTGATATAGTTTGCGGGGACACCAATAAAGGCATACCGGTTGCCTTTAGTAGTACTTTCCCTTATTTTCCTGCATAGAAGTTCAGATGGGAGTCAGAAAAAGAGTTTAAAAGGATAAATGAACAAAGCAAAGAGAAAAATCAAAAAGGAGAATAGAAATCTTACTTTCACGGTGTTAATGGCCTTGTTGTCCAAGCCAGAACACAAGACTACTGATTGCTGTGCTGCCCAGGTTGTTGAACGAACCACAGCAGCACAATTGGCAGTGTAAAATGCTCCCCTAAGAGACTGGTCCTCAAACCGAGCCCATGGCAGGGCGTGTCAAACAAGCCATATAATCAAGATCATGTTTAACAGGTCCGCTGAGAATGTAGGTCCCTTGAAGTAAGCATCCAAGGTTGTACTTTTGACTGTGCTTTTGGATCCAACCTGTTCATTGTAGGATGGGGGAAGAACAACTCCAGCGGCAATGGCCTTGTGACACATTGTGCATACAGCTTGACTTTCTTTACCACCACGATGACCCCATAAACCATAGTACAAAATGCCAATTGTTACATCATCAACACTTATATTTCAACCCCTAAGAAAATACCTGGCATTAGCTTGATGTAAGACATACTAAAGGAAAGTAAGGAACATACTTTAGGAGGATAAAAGTATGTGAGAAGGTCCTCGATGGCGATAGACTTAGCCTTATTGTAGCCAATATCACTGGTTACAACAAATCAATGTCTGAATCCTGATTGACGTTAGTCCCATCAGGGACCTCAAAGACCTAAGCAAAGTTGTGAACAGAGCATATAAGATTGAGAGAACTTTAAAAGATGACGGATAAAAGAAAGGAAAACAACCTCAGTGTTGTGACGCTTTGACGATGGGGAGATGTGATGTGAAGGACTGCCTGACGGTGAACGGGCACCTTTGCTGGTAGACAAACAAGTCTGGAAAAGTTAATGGAAGAAAATCATGTACTAAATTAGGAGCTGTGAACTGATATAGAACTGATATATGATAATGACATGACTTACTTTTCCTTTTGAGGAGGGCTTGGCCTTTGAAGCCACACTGCTGTTTTTGGTTGGAGCAGGTGGTTGGGGTGACACAGAATGTTGCGCGAGTGGACCAGGAGACCCATCATCAGAATCTTGAGATGCTGTTAGAGAGGTCCTTGAGTCCTTAGGAGTGATCACAAATCCGGGCTGGGGGTGAACTGGACTTGGTGCTCGAAGGCTGCGACTTGATGTCCGACCTGGTACCTGGAGGGTACTTTGCAAAGAACTTTGGGAAAGGGATGAAGAAGCAGGCATGATCGATTATCAGAAGAAAAGGAGGATTTGATTAACAGTCTCGTCTGAATGATGTTTTGAGGATGAGAAGAGAAAAAACAAGGACTGGTACATACCAATGTCCATTTAAAATGCATTGGATGTATGAACCACAGGTCTGCCAGCGTTGGATAAATGACCAGGGGGTAGGATGTATCGTTAGAAAAGAGGTCCAGTTGCCCATTGGAAGCCTTGATCTGATATGGTGTTGTCAAGAATGGTGCTGAATGGTGTTGGAGATGGTTTACAGTGCAGTGGCAAAGATAGTGTACAGTATCCACCCTGCTCTGATTGGTCAATAGTTGATGGATGAAACAAATGAAAAATCACAGCCTGTCCTAATGATGGTCAAATTCACACCAGTTGAACCCATCAAAGGTCACCAATGTATTGGAATCCTGCACCAGTCAGGAATCCAGCACAATTGTTGGCATATAATTCTTGATTGAGCAAGTCGAGTTGATTGATAGTTGATAGATGAGATGTACAGTATAGTGATAGTGTACGCCCTCACCCCTGGGTACAGGGTATTGCTCCGCTCAATGAGCGGAGAAATCCAAGCCCTGACCCTGTGTGTAGCGTTTGCTGCACTTATGGTTTTCAAGCCCTGGGAGGGCGGTGCGCAGGCACCGCTCTGTATGGCGATGAGCCTAGCAGCCCAAAAAAACGCTTCACACACGCTCTTTCAAGTCGAGCGGTTGCTGTATTGATGGAAAGAAGCCCAAAAAGTTGTGTACATTGAAGCAATTGCAACTTTTAGACTTTTACAGTCATCCCTTTATTCACAATAACAAATGTGAGGAAGCAAGCATCATTGTAACCCACTATTGCCACTCAAGTCAAGTATCTCAGGGCGATCACACCTTTGAGAGTGCTTTCTTCGTCACAAAGTTGTCACAAAGAAAGCATTGTTCCAACTCACTATCAGTTCATAGTTTCCCGAGCAACGGTTGAAAATAAAATTGAAAAGCTTGATAGTCCAGTTCAAAAACAACCCAAGTAACAGTTACACCAATCACAGAATAGTGATCAGTCATAAGCAATGTTTTTTCAAATCTCAAAAGGTCTCAATCAGATCAGAGACTCTGAGGACACGTTCTTATCACTAACTCAAAGGGCTCATCTAGTACCTTTTATAATGCTTAGTTTACACAAGTCACAGTGATTGATATATTGATCAATCAATTGATAAATCAATTCCTTCCCTGTCATCCAAAGTGAAGCACCATATTTGCTACTCCTCAAACTCCGTATTGATGTGCCTAGAGGGTCAGTCATTCCTAGGCTTCCAAAAAAATTTCAAAAGAAAAAGGCAAAAAGGAATCACATTTAGAAAAAGAGGGTAAGCAAAGAAACGGAAAATGGAAAGGAGGCTTTTTATAGAATTTCATCAGTTCCAAGAGTTACAGATGTGAAGGAAAGTGGTCTTGATCACGGTCCACTCGTGATCAACGGATCTGAATCAGAAACATCTTCCGCAGCCTCAACCACAGATCAAATATCAGAATTATCATTAGCCCCAACTACACAAAAAACCCCTCAAAAAATCAGCAATCAATTCACATGCAAACCAAACCAAAAAATCAAAAAAGAAAGAAAAGGGCAAACTGAGGATAAATTAAATATAATTTGGTGCTTTATTAACATCATTCCCAGCGGTATATTCAGGAAAATAATGTTTGAGCGGAACTTTAGGTAGTTTAGCTTTGAGGAAATCAATCTTATTTACAAAACAAAATTATCGAAGTTCTCAAAAACCATCTAGAGTTAATGACTGATTGAAATAAGACTAATGATTTTACCATTTGATTCTGAAGAATTACAAAACAAAAACAAATAAGTGAAAGAAAAGGAGAAGAAAAGAAGGGAAAGCAAGAAGACTTGCTTGACCACTTTATTCTAGGAGGACTTGCTTGTATTCACTTAGTGCTGCACAAAAAAATTATGGAAGCAAAAGCTTCAAAACAAAGGAACCCATTTTTTCCTTTCTGATCTTTGTCCACCCACATCAAACATACTATAAAAGAGAATCCATAGAGAGTTCTTAGTTAGTTAAAAAAGATAGCTGATTATAATGATCTTGATTGGAAAGGTTGATGGGTTTGGGTGATTTGAACATACTGAATTGAAAGTTGACCGGATTCAAATTTAGTTTTAGAGATACATGTTGTCTTTGTACGTGCCATTAAGACATCAGTCTTGTTTGGGATATAATCAGGTTGACCAATCCTTTGAACCTCACCAAGAAACTAACACAAATAAATTGAGCAAAAAGAAAACAAAGGGATGATGTGTATGTTTTGCAAGGTCAGATTCAGAAAGAGTAGATCATCAAGAAACATAAGAAAAAAAAAAGAAAAGTGATATTTTAACTCAACTACTCAGCCGAATCCATTAAACAAAACTCACTAGCTCTATCATGGACAGCTGGAATGATTGGATCATGAGAGTCAATCGTTCCCACCACATCCATATTCAAACCTGAAACTTCATGTAAATCTAATCTGTATTCTAAACTCTTATGTACATAAACAAAAAGCACACATCTCTGACTTCAGGCTGACCTTTGATAGTTGTTTGCTTATATCTTTCCAAATCACACCAATATTGGTTGCAGTATGTTAATCTTTAGATCTTTTTCACGGGTTGATGATACACAGGGGTTGAATTCAGGTGTTAAATTCATCAAGAGTTAAATATGTTGATCAATACCCTCTCATATAGCTTCTCCATTTGGATTGTTTGCTTGATTTGATCGTTCACAGGGGTCACAAATTCAACAAGAGTTATATGCTCATCAATTGTCACTACTGTAGCTTCTCCTATATATCTTGTTACAATAGCGAGCGCCTTGGAGAGACAAATGAAAGATCCCCCAAAATCAAACATACATCAAAAGCACAAAGTTGTGTTGGTCATCAAGCATGCATTATGACTAAAAGTTTTGCTTTTGGTTTTGGTAGTGAACCCCAAGAGTCAGTTTGAGTATAACAAACGAGAATGATGTATGGATTTTTGAGATCAGAGGACATGTGAATGAGCACAGGCAGAATGAAAAACATTTAATTTAAGATAAATGTTGGGTCTCTGGGCAAAGTGGAGAGGCCAAGATCATCACACATATTGGAACATTCATGGCTGTTTTCAAAAGCCTTTAGACCAGAGTGTCCCAAGTTTCCAAAAGCCCAATCGTTATATCCCCAGATAATAAAACAGATCAAATCAGTATTTAAGCACAAGTTGTGATGTCACATACCTTTCCATGAATTTAATCTCTGTGATCACCATACCAATTGCGTGGAATACAGCAAGAATAGCCTGGCCCTTGAAATGATCATAAGTCCAATGGGTAAGTGCCCTCATCACCCTGTTTTCCTCTTGGAAAGTCGGATTTTGTATGGCCCTGAAGTTGGTATCATGTTGATGATTGATCCAGGGACCCATCAAGCACTCTTCAATCACGAAGATGTCATCCTCGTGTACTGAACTATCACCAGACTTCTCCTCATACGCTACAACATGAGAAATAACCTGAGACACACAGAAGAACAGAATCAGTGTGACCATACTAAATCATCCATATCTAGCAGTGATGACGTTTATACCCTCAAACCACGTATCAATTCATGTTGACAACTCTCTGGCCACATCCTTGAATTCATTCACAAGCCAGATGGCCAATAGCATAGCCTGAGCAACTCGACAATAATGCTCAAGTCTTACTGGAAATCCGGGGTCACTCTTGCAAGCAATTAGGGGATACAAAGTAGAATCCGGGCACGTGCCCAGAATCTTTTGGCAGTAAATTTGAATTCTGGGCCCGGACTTGTGCCCAGAAAATCAAAATTTACTGCCAAAAAAATCCGGGCACGCTGTGGTGAGCAAATCTCAATCTGCAAAGGATTAATTGGAAAGAAGTTATTAGATTATATTGTTGAAGTCTGTGCTCAAAATCAAGGCTCAAAGTTTTATTAAATTAATTATTAATCAATGCAGCAAGTTACAAATCAAATCAAATCAAATCAAATCAACAAATTACAGTTACAAGTTTAGTAGTTTATACATTAAAAGAATTGAGAATCAAATTGAATCAAAACATTGAATGAAATTAAAATGAAATGAAATGAAATGGAACAGCAATTAATGTAAAAGTCAGAGTAGAAATCAAAGAAGGTTTAGAGTTATCAAGAAAAGCAAGAAAGAAATCTAAAAATTAAGACAAATTGAAAATCAAATTAGCAAAACAAACAGAAGAATTATAAAGAGGAGGATAAAAGGTACTTACTGAAGTGTTTAGTTGAAAGGATTATGAAAAGGAAGGTTGGAATTGAATTGAAAAACAAGAAACAAAGGAAATGAGTGGTGCAATGAAATTTAGAATTTAAAAGTGTTTAATTAAAGATTTTTGAGGTATTAAATGAAGCTTAATTAAATTAGTCAAATGAGAGCATTGATTATTAGAAAGCATTCAAACATTCAAATTAAGATTGATGAGATTATTAATTGGCTAGATTAATCAGCAGCTCATCCTCTTCTCAACTTCTTCATCAAATAAGACATCAATCAATTAATCAATTAACAATTTTCAAAGAATTGAAATAACAAATTAGTCATCAAACAATTATAAATTATTAGTCATCAGAAACCTAGATAATTAAAATCACTAAAGACATCTAACAAATGAATTGGTAATCAACTATCCAAACTATAAAAACATACCATGGTGCAATCAATCAAAGTCTATTAGTCATCAAATTGAAACTTACTCACATCTCACAGTTACTAATGACTAGAAACCAAATCAATTGAGAAATCAAATGATCAATCTTTAAAAGTTCTCATCACTACATATTCAATTACAAATGATGAACTCACACAGTAACAAAATCATCAATGAACTACATATCAAATTGTGTAATTACATATCAAATTGAGTTATTACACATCAATCTCAAATTACATATCAAGTGTACAATCAATTCATACCATCATATGTCAAATTATCAATTGTCCGATGACTTCAATTAACTAGTTACTAAATATCTAAATTACACATGATCAATTGAAGAATTCAAACAATATCAAATTACTAATGTACATTAACTAATGATCAAATATTCAATTCATTACAAATAACAAACAGTATCAAATGACTAATTGAAACCATTCAAATCAAATATCTCAATATCAAAACCATTAAACAACAATTGAAATATCAAAGATGTGAGAAGGGAGGAGTATGAAAATCTACATGTGTGGGAAGTTATGTAAAAGATGGATGTGTGATTTTTTTCTCTTAGTTTCTTTGTTTCTGTTTTCTTTTTTTACTCAATCTCAGTTTCAATTCAGTTATGTAATTGGTACAATCAGGGTGGAGGCTTAGTTTTTTTTTCTCTTTCACTCAATCTCTCTCAATTCAATTATTTATTTGGTTCAGCAAGGAGGATTACATATTTCATATGTACAAAGTTTATCTATGTTGGTGGGAAATGGTCTTGGCAGAGTTTGGAAGTTGTATGTGTACATATTTGTGGCCTGTGTTTGTTCTCTCATATCTTTTTTTATTATCTCAATTTCTCTTTATTCAATTGTGTCTGGCTGTGTGTATATAAGGCAGCGGGTTGACAGGGAGGATTTGAAAGTTATCCAGAAATTTATGCAGGAAAGTTCCTATTAGTTTATAGCTCATTGACAGTACCAACTGGCCTATACTCTCTTTTTATTTCTGTGATCACTTTTTGCCCCTTATATTGAGTTGATATAAGGAGACTTTTTCTTTGCTCTCTACATGAGTCTAATATTCTATATTTTCACCCTCTGATTGAAAGTGTGTGGTATATCCTTTGGTCTAGATAATTCATTGAGTTCTATTATTATATCATATGCTTAGTTTGCTTCATTGAACACTCCATCTAGAATTCTAACATATTAACCTAGGTTTTGAAAGGCTTAGAAAAGTATAAGGCTACAGCACATTGGCCAATAAGTTGTTGGACGTTTACTTTGTGGATGGCAGTTAGCTTATAGCTTTGTCAGGTTTTATCTTTCATTAGTCTAGTTCTTAGTAGAGGGTAGTCTGTCTGTTGATTTGGTTGCCAGTTGTATTCAAGGGGGTAGTCTGGGGTAGTTCCTTTAGGATTAGTCTTTTCACTGAGTTATATTTAAACTTTACTTTGCTTTGGGGAATTATAGTCTGAAGTAGTAATTGTAGTGTAGTCTTTTTTTTCATCTGTGTTCAGTACACACTATTTTATTTACAAGTCTTCTTCATTTAAGCACCTTACCATCCCTTTATCCCTTATTTAAATCTCAATAAACTCTATACTCATCTTTTACCCTTTTCTCATTTCTGTAGTACTCCTCAAAGTATTATATTCCTCTCTTTCTTCTGGTCTTTTGGCTCTTTTAAAGGCTCAGTAATATTTAGAGTAGGCTAGTTAACTCTATCCAAGGTTTATTTGCACACCTCATATACTTCTTTGTGTGTGTGTGGTGGTTGTCTTTAATTCTTTGGCTCCCTACTCAGTTACAGCTTGCTAAACTCATCTTTTCAGCAAGGGTCCCTACAACGCGCCCGGGCACGTGCCCGGATTCTACTTTGTATCCCCTAAATGACATCCATTACTGTATCCTTGTCCAAGATCAGTTGAGCTTTGAATCTTTTACAAAAGTCCCAGCGGTGGATGAATTCTTGTTGGTGAACCCTGAAGTTGACTTTCTGCGGAAAAAATTCATACTTTTCAACCCCGTTCTCATCTTCATTGGGCATCAGGATCAAAGCATAACCATTCCCAGGTTTCTTTTTTTCACAATTCTTTGCTGAATGAACTTGAGAAACCCTCCAGCCTATGGACAAAGGTGGTTCAAGATCACTGACATCCAAATCATCTGTGGAGCTCAACACACATCAGATTGGAAAATTTTCTTTGAAAGCCGTATTGAATACTTACCAATTCAAAATTCACGCTCCAGCGTCTTGTTCTCGAGTTTTTTAATTGGACAGCCTTTTAGGTTGACCTCTAAGAAAGGAAGTTTCCATGTTGAAACTATCTGGGCTTGGTACATTATATATTTATACGGGTCAGATTTTACACAAAAAGGGAAATGATTGGGGAATAGAGGACTTACACGCATCAGCTTGCACATCTATGTCTGCCATAGAGTAATATAAACTTTGATGAAAATATTCAAAAAGTGATGTATCTGTCTTCAGGAATGTACATAGCAAAGTGGATATAAAAGAATGTCAAATGTATAAGAGTTTTTTTCCCACCTGATACTGTTGACCCACAGTCTCCTTCTGCTGGACCCTGCTTTCACCAAAAGTTATCAGAATTAATGCAGACAGTCAAAACCTTGGACACATGTCACGGTGAGAGCAAGAAAAAAAAACCTGTGAGAGCACATAATATCCTTGAAACCATTGTTCCGTCTATGGAATCCTTGTATACAGGCATACAAGTATGTGTGTTGAAAAAAATTGGAGAACAATTTTTCAGAGGATCAATTTGTCACAGAAACTTTTTTGCTTGTGCAATCTTGATTACACAACTAATTTTGTCTGTTTCTCTCTTCATCTCAAGGTACATTATGAGCTCATCCACTCCTTATATTGCAAACACTTGAGACCCACCCCCACCCGGAAAGATTGATTGTACATCCTACAGTCAATTAGTACCTCATCTACGTACCACGGTCTTCAGCTTCTGCATTGCAAAACAACAAAATGCTGGACACCAGCTGGTCCATTGCAACTTTTGTTCAATTGGATACCCCCAACTAACCAGCAAACCTCCCATTTGTGGTGTATGTCTTTCCAAGGGTCTCACAAGCTCCCCCGTGGAACCCCCCTGACAAAATGCAGGAGATTCATCACTCCCAGGATCCATCCTTGGATCTAGACGACCTTGAGCAGCAGAGACCTATCTGGAACCCCCACGAATGAACCCTACCCCATCAAACTCTTTCCATTTGTCAAACTTGGGTACTTTCAACACCCAACAGGCCAATCTTGCTAGCAAAGAGGAATTCAATGTATGGGGCTGGAAGAGACAAATGGAAAGTGCAGAATCAAAGAAAGGTGGTGCCGCCAACACTTTGAAGGGTGGATGTGCTTGAATGCCACTTACAGGAACCTTAGGTCCAGCATCTTGTGCTGTGAATATTACCGCTCAACCCATCATTGCCGGAACACCAAAAACATTTACCTCTGATCACGGTGCAAAAACATTCTCCAGCTTTATCAACACTCAGGCACCTGATTGGCCAGTCGCTTTTACAAGAGATGCGTGGAACGACATCATTTTGTTCTGCAACAACAATTTGAAGTTCACCTTCGAAAACCAGTGTTCAATGTATCACATCTTCCCTCTGCCGATAATTTTTTTGGATCAGTACATATCTCTGGGGGTAGGAAAAGACCACATGTCATATGATCAGATCCGTATTCATGTGGACGCAAAGGCCAACAAAAAGGCTCAACAGGGCCCTTTGGCAAAAATCAACATCACCTTGATTTTCACCCCAGGGGTGTACTTGCAGACTGTTTCTCAAGACAAATATGACCAGTTGATCACCATTTCCATGGGTCTTACTCTGAAGGAGTACCTACACAATCAGCCTGAAGTTAAAGATAGCTCAAACAAATCTCATCAGACTTCTCAGAAAAAGAGGCCTTCCAACTCAACCTCCGCTGGCAGTGAGGGCTCAAGTAAGTTTTGAACATTATGTATATTATAGCGTCCTTCAAACTAAATATTCCACAATCTACAAAGGTGGCCACTACGACAAAGACAAATTCAAGACTGCTCTCCGCCAATCACTTGACGACACTACGGTCCTATCAGCATCCTCTTCAAAGAAGCAATAGCCCTCCTGTGTGGTGGTTTGATCCAGCCAACAAAAACCTCCCACTTTTTGGAGCCAACACTAGAACGTCTGTAACTCTAGAATTGGACAGTGTTACTATGAGCCACTGCAATGTTGGCAACATCAACATGCTCTCTGGCGTCTTAGGCTGTGGTATGCTTCAATATACTGAAGTATTTGATGATTGCATTGGTTGACGTATGCAATTTACTACAGACGTTGAATTTTCCAACAAAAACCTTCTGGACCTCTGATTTTTTGGAGAAGTTGCGGTTCCCATCTCGGCTGCCTGGGCCAATTCCACCCGTGCTCCCATTTGGAAAAATGTTATTCTCCTTGCTATACATGTTGAACCGGTAGCTAATGGTCTTGAGATACGTGATCTCGAAGAGACATTAAGCTTGCCAAGTGACCCGTTGTTCAAGACAATTCGACAGGCAGACATATCCGTCAGGCCATGGCGGGTAAGCTGTCACGTGGATTTGAGTGACCCACACCCATCAAGTGTGTCCAAAGAACAATTCGGCGGACAAATACTTTTTGATGGTTCCTTGTTAAATGTCTTGGCAAGAAAGCACATGGAGGAGAACTCACTGTTGAACTACCTAGAGGAGCTGCAGACAAACTGTCAAGCACGGAAATTACTATATGATTTCCAAGAATTCGTGGCTGGTCATTCTGGGACAAATCCTTTGTTGGCAGCCCTTGTCAAAAATTTGGAGGTGCATGTGCTTTTCTATGGCTTCATGTTTATAACATTGTAGATATCTCATGTTTCGGAGCCTTCTAGGTTGTCCGCCCATTTATAATATCCAAGAAGTTGTGGACATCACCGAATCGTAATGACCTATGGGCAGTTGAGACATACCAGACGGTTTCACCCAAAAAATGTGTTAGCCAGGATTCGAGAGTCACCTTGGAAGAGAGTGATTTACTCTTCCAGGCCCTTCAGTCATGGTTTCACTTGACATTCAATCTGTACAAAGGTGAGGCGTTCTTGGCTGAAATCTCTGCCAAAGGACATGTACTGTCTCATTTCCAAATGGTCAATCACAAGTACGTTAATCCTCAAATTACATTGTATCAATGATTTTTTCTGACTAATTGATTGGGACGTTTGGCCTGCAGAGCGTGGTGGTCAGCTGAGAATTCAAGGGAAAAAAGCATTTTGTGTTTTTGGAACTCACATAAATGCTTGCCATCATGCCTGGACTTAGGTTTTGTGCCAGTTGAGCAAGATGGCTACAGACCCAGGCGGGAAGCAACAGGTTTGCAAAGTTTGGAAACAACCCCCATGAAAACTACAGATGCAGTGCACAGTCCTGAAGGTGATGGTTTGGATTGGGTAAATGTATGTTCCACCCGGAAGAGCAGTGCTTTTATCACTTAAACCATTTGTTTATAAATTAACTGCCCAAACCACATGAGTTACATTATGGTTTCAATTGTTTTGAACTAGCTAACCCACAAAGATTCCAATACCGTTTGATTGTAGATCAGTTCCTTTATGAGCAGATGCTTAAATTTCATGAAGGTTGTTTGTCCTTTTGATAATATGATATCTTTTGATTTTTCTTTGCTTGACCCCAGACGGACAAGTGGTATTTGGTGATGAGTGGCACCCGGATTGTTGATCAGAGATACAATGACAGATATACTCAATGCCTCCGCACCATGGTCAAGTGACGACAAGCAGATACATTGAGTATTGGCACACTACCATTTTAAAAATACACAGCCTCTGTATATGAACATTCAAAGCAAGTCCATTGGTCAGTGTGCAGCACAAGAGATTGAAACTGACTTAAAGAGTTGCATAAACATTGAGTGAGTGGTCAGTTGCAGATTTGAGAGCTCCTCAAAGGAGTGATGATCATGCTGAATTCCTTCCTTGAATCCAGCTAGAATGACCACATCAATGTGAGACGTCAGACTGTTTTACAAAATATGGAAATTGTGTCTGGGCAGCAGCTTGAGCTGCGTTGACTAAAGAGGGAAAGAGTCCAAGTCTAGATGTCAGCCATGCATACACTCATCAAATTTTTAAAGTTGATGAATCACAAACACCAAAAAAGTTGACACTGAAAATCTAGAGCAACAATAAAAGTGAAAATGAGCAACACTTAAAGAGAGGGATGATGTAAAGGCAGAGGCTTTCAATTGATTACAGACTTTACTGAAGTCATCCTTAGTGCAATTTAAGGCCGCACAACAGGAACACCCGCCTCGGTATTTGATAATGGAAGATATAATATAATAATAATACATCTTGATATGTGTGTTCAGTTCTTCAACCAAAATGGGATTGAATTCAACTTACATCCAGTCACCAGTCCCATTTCAGAGTGAATTTTCTTATAAATTTCTCATTGATTTGTGATCAGTGACAATGGGACTAGGAATTGATCCTGTCCATGTGCCGACCCAGAAAGCTCCTGACGTGACAGGAGTTCACACTCGAGCAAAGCAGTGTCTAGGTTCCTGGCGTGTAAGACACAAGCCTGCTTACGACAGCTGTGCCCTGGATGAGGTCATCCCCAGGCTCTCAAAGAGTGATCACTGTCATCAAGCTCAGTTCCTCCCTGAACAGGAATTGAATTCTTGTTCCATTTCCCTCCTGGTTGCCTGGCTCCCCTCCGTCTCTTCTTCACGTCTCAGAGCTCTTCCCACGGGTAAAAACCCAGTTTTTCAAACTACATAATGATTAGAGCAAGCAGAAGAAAAAAAGGTTTGAGCCCAGAACTTACTCCAATACTAACTTTGCCGCAATATGAAATCAAGACTGAAGAAGAAGAACAAGAAAGCCAAGATAGAAAGGATGCTGAAGAATTAAGAATCAATTCATTGAATGAAATCAGAAATAAGAAGAAGAATAGAAGTAAGTTAACAAATATGATCCAATTACAAGAATTAGAAGATGAGAATACAAATGAAGATTGTATTTGGTAATGAAGATTCAGATGATTATGAAAAATCATCATCGTCAATAGAAGTCAAAGAACCAAAAAAAAGTCAGTTTTAATTGAAGGTTATGACTTCAATACAATTCTCTTCTCTCTCTAAGAAATACTCCTATTGTAATTCAACCCAATTTCAAATTATCTTTTTCTCCCATCTTGATTTAGTCCAATTTCACATTATTTTTGTGATTTATTCCGAGATAATGAGCAACAAACGCATGATTCTCCCGCAATTTTATTTGTGATTTATTCCAAATCATTCATCATTGACAAGAACCATCTGTGATTTATTCCGAGTTGTCATGAACATTAGAAATTCAGTCATAACAAATTTTGTTATACATGTCCTGTCCCCTACTTATTGTTGAACAAGTTATTAATTGGAACTCATTAATTGTTTCTCATTTTGTTATAGAGGTTTTGGTTGAAATTGCAAAGATGGCCTTAGCAATGGGCAACACAAAAATTGTAGAACAGTTCTTGAGATGATTAGATGGAGGATGCATAGAAGGAACTTCAAGCTCTTCAAAAATGGATCCTTTGAAAAACTATGTAAGTGGTCAAGTGTTGAAATCAGGTTTGAGGGCATTCACAAAGTATTGGGATGATCACCTCAAGAAGTTAGATGTACATCTAAATTTGACCATCTTTAATGACAAGTGGATCGAATTAGATCACATGGTAGATGGAATGAATACCTTGTCAAAGCAGAAAGATAAACCTACAGGACAACCTGCAAAGAGTGAATGGTGGCTATCATTTGTCAATTAGACAAGAGCTAAAACTCTTATGTTGAAATACTTGAGGAACATGTACCAACACATACCTTTTGCAAATGAGTAAGCAATCAAAATTATGTGAAATCTTATAGACATAAACTCATACTGAGTATACTGTTATGAAACCGTTTAGAAAAATATTTCAAACATGTAGAACATCTGAGCTTAAGACATGGTTGGGTAACCACATTTAGATATGATATAATGGTGTGAACTGATGTTCTATGTAATCGTATTAACGGGGCACCAGGAGACCCAAGTGTTGAAAGAGAAAATTTTCTAGAAGAAGCAAAAGCTAGGACAGCCTTGCTTCAAGATGCAAGGATAATCTTTTTAGACAATTGTATGTGAATTTATATATGATCATAAGTGTCAATTAAGTTTAAATAGATTGTTAACTGGAAAAATTTGCTTTTTTGATTGGTTCTTGTTGCCCGTTCCATAGCGTACTCCAAAGGAAATGTTAAAAAGAAGTTTAGTCCAATTACAGGGAAAAGTTATCCGTCAGGTATGAATCACGCCACAGCAGATTTAGACAGTGTAGGTGACCAAGAAATGAATGATAATTTAAAACCTCCAGATTTCAATACATCAGAAACTTACAAAAGAAATGATACCTATCAGCAAAATAATACACTACAAAGAATATAATGTTTTCTGGGCAGAAAACGCAAATATTGATATACAGAAATATTGGGCGGTCAGGAGAAGGGCAAGAAATACAAAAAAATATGGATATTGTTCCTGGTGTTGAGAGCTTCAAGCTAAGTATTTTTGTGTATTTTTAGAGGGCATATTGTTGAATGTACTAACAAAAAACCCCATATTCATCAGATATACACCTGTAACAGATGCTGAAATTCAGTTCCTCAGATTGGAGAGGACAATTTGAATTCTACAAATGCTCATAAAATTTGCAATTCTTGGTCAAGAGACTGGCTTTTAGGCTCATTAGAAAGCCACAGTCTCTCTCTAAATGTCTCAATAATGATTCCAGGCTTCATTCTCTCTCACAAGGCAGCTATAGTCACTTTGAAAGATCTTCTTCAAAGCCACATAGATTCTTTGCAAAGCTGGACACAGCCCCATCACCTCAATAAAATATCTGGAGACAGAGTTCAGCTTTCTAATGAACCAATAATCAAGTGTTTTCCATGCCAGTTGCAAAAGTTATGAGCATTTGTAGATTTCAAATTGTCCTCTCCAATCTCATCGCTCTATTTTCAAATTGGACCCTAGTACCATACCTTCCCAACATTGGTGTTTCTTGACTGAGCTGAAGGTAGAAAGCACACACAATTTTCACCAATTCAAGCAAAGAGATGAGATATGGAAATCCTCTTGATTTCCTTGAAGCTTCAAATTAGATGATGGCCTTGTAGAGGGGTCTTATAATTTTGTTAGTAGCTGCAGCACAAGCCATCAGGGTTTGCGCTATAACCTCATACAATGGACTTGTTAAAGATAGTAGGTACTATTCTATCCTGGTAATAGTGCCCAAGCTAGGATTTATCCGTTATCTCCGTTATCATCTTTAGTCTTTACTTGTCACTATTCAACCTTCTTGTTCAAAGTTATCTTCTTTTCACATTCACGCTTTTAGAAAAGGCTTAGTAGAAGTACAATTGGAACTTTCAGCCTTGTCACATTACATTGCTCCGCGTACACAACATTGCCCGTTACCTTTGCAATCTGCTCTTCACACCTTAAAAAACCTGAACTTAACATCATCAGAAGATCTTCTAGAAGATCTTACCTTTGTCATTTTCTCTTACTTGTCCTAAATCTCCCCTTGGTTATTCCATACCCTGAGTACTTAATGTGCGTAGTTTTGTCCTGGTTACACTGGGAGCCTTGATAAAGACTGATCTGACTAACCTCTGATTTGTCTCATTTTGGTGTTCTTAATTTTGTCAACTTAAATTTTCTAGTTGATTGTCAAATGTCTCAAAAGTCCCTCAAAAATAATCAAGATAGGAAATTGGAAGTAGTACTTAGTTATAAGAATACCCCCTTAAAATCAAAACAATGGTAATTCAATCATCTTTCTAGAGTTTTTATGAAAAGAGAAATATTTGAGAAAGTATAGGGAAGAATTTTGAAAAGCTTACAAGTTGTTTTCTTTATCATTTGAAAAATTAGTCATAATGTCACCAGGATCAGACTCCAGACATATTAAAGTCCTGATATCCTTGAATGAGGACGAAGCCACTTGACTGCTTCAAGAATTACTGGCCCCAGAAAATAGGGAGCCAGCTCTAGCAGGATTACAGTGGACTACTTCACAAACTGTAGGATTCACCCCGGATCAGACGGTTTATTATAACACACTGAAAAAGAACAAGGATAAAGCCCTTTTTCCATTACATCTGTTGGTGCAAAAGTTGTTAGGTGTTAATGAACAAGGACTTACCCCTGCAGACCTCGCCACACCCAAATCCTTCTATTGATCCAGTCACTTGTCCTCCTGAAGTATCCAACTTCATGCCAGACACCCCTTTGTGATGAGATCTACCTACAAAATGAAATTCATCACTTATGCTTCAAATAAAGACCTGGTTTCCAACAAGTCTGGCTCGCAGCGCAGAGGTTAGCGCGCAGCGCAGCGTGGCGCTGGGTGCGGCACAGTCGCATAACTACCTGGATAGTTGAAATCAATCAAGCTACACATTTTGCTAGCAATTGGGGCTGGACTCTCTTGAAACTACGCTTCCCACTACCATATTGGATATCTGGGTCAGCCACCATACCCACATAACACTTCCATGCATACAAGCCATCACCACTTCAACGCCCACTATCTAACACCTATCCCTCAAGATATTGCTTCATTTGACCACATAGGTTGAGTCTTTTATTGGGCAGGTTGTTATATTCTCAATCATATGTACAAACAGATCATCATGATCATTCATTAGATGAAATCAAATTGGATGCATCTACTCATTGACCAAACCAACTTATTCATTTAGGCCATTGCTATTTGCAGCCCACAAGAAAACCATGTAGGCGCTGGCCAAATTACGCCTGCATGGGTGTTTCCCCCGAAGAAGCGCCTACATTTATGATGTAGGCGCTGGAAACCATCCAAAATGACGCCTACATGTCAAAAAAACCATGTAGGCGTCATTTGGTTACGCCTACATTCAAAAAATGAAATGTAGGCGTAATTTTCAAGCACCTACATATCTCGTTTGAAATGTAGGCGCTATTTTTGAGCGCCTACATTCAATTTTCAGCTCAAATAAGCGCCTACATGCAGTCCTGCATATGTAGGCGCTACAAATCCGGCAACTACAACTCCAGCCTGGTCTGAAGGGTAATGAAGAACAATTTTCATGTCAAAATGAGAGTTTTGGAAGATGGAAAAAGCAGTTTGGACTCAAAATGAGTGTATCGGAAGACGGATAAAGCAGTTTGGAGTTGAAATCAGTGTATTGGAAGACGGAAAAGTAACTCCGGAGTCAAAATGAGTGTATCAGAAGATGGAAAAAGTAGTAAATTATTTCAACTCTGAACTCAGTTTGGAGTCAAAATGAGTGTATCAGAAGCGGAAAAAGAAGTAGATTATTTCAACTCTGAACTGCTATTTACGTCTTCTGATACACTCACTCCAGAGTTGAAAAGAGCATATTCATCTTCCAATATGCTTAACTGCTTTTCCCGTCTTCCAAAACACCCATTTAAACTCCAAGCTGCTTTTTCCATCTTCCAATACACTCATTTCAACTCCGAACTGCTTTTTCCGTCTTCCAATACTCTCATTTTAACTTGAAATTTCTTCTTCATTAGCCGTCAGACCAGTCTGGAGTTGTAGGTGTTGGATTTGGAGCGCCTACATATGCAAGACTGCATGTAGGCGCTTATTTGAGCTGAAAATTGAATGTAGGCGCTCAAAAATAGTGCCTACATTTTAAATGAGATATGTAGGTGCTTGAAAATTACGCCTACATTCTGAAATTTTGAATGTAGGCGTAACCAAATGACGCCTACATGGGTTGTTTATCATGTAGGCGTCATTTTAGATGGTTTTCAGCGCCTACATCATAAATGTAGGCACTTTTTTGTGGGAAACACCCATGTAGGTGCTGTTTTGGCAGCCCCTACATGGTTCTCTCGTGGGCTGCAAATAGCAATGGCCTTCATTCATGAGACCTAATTTAAAAGATCCTCCTCCTCCTCCTTGTAGGGCTTGTTCAGTTACACATTTGGATGATAGGATCTTTATCTTTGGTGTTGGTGATGGACCTAAGTATTTTGATGACTCATACAAGTAAGCAATCTGCTTCTTTTTCTCCGAACCAAACCCAAAACTCACCTTTCTTTGTTCTATCAATAGTGGACCAAGCCAAAACTCGAAGGAACAAGACCAATCAACCAAAGATCTGATCATGCTACAGTTCTCTATGGAAACCAATTGATCATCTTTGGGGGAGGAAATGGATTGAGAGCATTGGATGATGTTCATAAACTTGATGTAACAGATTTGAATGAATTAGAATGGAGAGAATGACATCAAGTTCAATCTCCTTTGGATAAAGGATATCATAGTGTGAATCTGGTTGGTAGTAAGTGTGTGATCTTTGGTGGAAGTGATGATGGTGAATGCTTCAGTGATCTTTACATTTTGGATTTAGGTTAATCTAGATTCTCTTTTCTTCAGACAGATTGGATGAAGTAAGACAAACTCGATGTGATTCTTTTGTTTTTTTTTCAGAAAATCTTGCTTGGATTCAAGTGGATGTAAATTTGCCTATGCCAAGATTAGCACATGCATCAACCCAAGTCCGATATCATTCATTCATCATTGGAGGTCATGATTGAGAAGACTATACATCTAAAGTGAAACCATTTATCAGGTGGACCAGGTTGTTGGTTGAAAGATACAATTTGATTTGATTTTCTTTTTCAGTGACTATACTCAGAATGATGTAGATATTGAATGTGGAAAGGGTTTTTTATAAAGGAGTAGAAGTTTGTTATTTTGTTTTCCGTCTTTTTTTGTTTCTTCAACTCACCAAGAGAATAATTTTCTTTTTTTTGCTATAACACTGTGAAACACTGCGTTCACAAACTATGCTTCAAACTACAATTTTTTGCAATTACCATGCACCAGTTTCTGGCTGGGCTACTGAGCTGGTTGAGGGAAGAAAAACGCTACCTTCCTGGTTTTGATGTAAGCAGTGCTGTGTAGCGCTGCAAGCCAGGCTTGTTTCCAAGTCCACTCCAGAAAAAGGAAAATCTAAGGAAACCATTTCAACTGACAATGCAATCAAAGCCAAGGAACAATATTTTTGTTCAGAAGAACAACCTACCAGTCCGGTCTCCAGAAAGAACACCAAGAATGACATGGTCATGAAGAATATTGACAAAAAGCCTGAAGTTTTCAATCCTTTCAACAATTACGCCACTCTTGCCGCTTTCTTCAAGCAGCAATCTATGTTGGAAAATGACAAGGCTACATTGTTTCAAAATGTTTCCAAAATCAACATAAGAAACAACAGCCCTCCTCCAACTTCCAGTTCCGAGGTAGCTACAGCTTCCCCTTTTGTGTGTACTCCCCCAGTACCTTCTCTACCAAAAGGGATACCACCAAGACCATCAAAGGTTTGATGATCCACAAACACATCAAATTTGATGGAACTCAACCCACCTGCAACACCAATATCTGGCTTCAAAACTTGGCTAAACAACTTTGGCTTTTGAATGCCGATCACAAAGGATAGCACTTAGTAGGATTTTGAATGCTTCGTGGAGCTGCTTCAATTCATTCAACCACCTCCATCAAAACTCCTAAAGAACCAAGATCTTGGGAAGAGTTTTGTTCATTCATCATCAAAGCTTTCCCCAGTACTTTGACTAGAAACTCCACTTCTCTTTGCCAAGTGTGGGGCAGGTCAGAGGTTTTACCAGGTCTGAGTAAAACTGAGTGCAGGGTTTTTGCTTAGTTCTGGTAAGTAGATAACCCTAGTGTCTCTATCACGTCGGGTGATAATAAATATTGGTAAGACTTGCCACATGCAGATGGCGCGTGGTGAGGCTTACCCGTGACGCGTGAAAACCCTCAGCCTCCGGGAGTGCTTGGCAAAGAAAGGAACATGTCAGCCTTAGTCTCCAAATAGTTGATAACTTGGAAGACAAGGTTGAATTCTTGTTGCTCACAAAAGTTAAATCCGCAAAATATAGATGATGTTCTTCTACAAATCTTGGAGGTAGCTTTAGATTCTTGGTGAGCAGAGCTGAAAAAAACAAAGCAGAGATTGTTAGTACTACTGTCTAAGGTGCAGAATGGCTACTGCTGCCAGTTAGATGTTCTGTGCACTCACAGAACAAATCTTCTGAGATTGACTACTTCTGGAAAAGGTAGGTATATCTCAGGCTTGCTTCAGCAGAGGTTCAATATTACTTTTATTGAAAAAAGGCTTAAAGGGAAAAGTGGTAATTGTATCTGAGTTAAGATGGAGAAGTAGTTTTTATAAGAAGTCTATTTTAGTAAGATGTTCTAAATAAGTAAACTATTCTGGCTTTGATCAAAACTAGGAAGATAAGAAGGGTTTTTGTTTTAAACGTTCCTGATAGGGTAAAGTTTAAAGAAAAAGGCTATATTTGTATGTGATGATAAAAGAGATGATTCTTTTTTGTTCTGCGTAAGTTTGTAGATCTTTATAAGTTTCAATTTCTCTGTTTTAGTAACTAACAGTAAAACATTGATTTTAGTGGTACCCTGAACTAGCCATCGTATCGTACCTTGTTGATACGCTTTGGTCTGGTCAGGGTTTCTTTCTTCAGGGGTCTAGTTATCCCTGGTTCTGGTCTTGGTTTCTATCGTTATAGGAATAAAATATTAATTCCAACTGATTTGGTATTTTTTCGGATGGCACTCTTGAAACTGAGTGTAGAGGTGTATTTTTATATTTTCTTTTGAATGTAGTTTTTTGGATTCTTGGCAATGTACTTGGGATTATTGCTCCGCAATAATCCTCGTACTGTTGACAGAACACATGAGTTTTTGGAGAAACTGCATTTGCATTCCACCAAGGACTGGCTGTCAGACGTCTGACTGCCGGAGGCGCAATAGAGAGGGAGAGGGGAGGGATCTCCTATCAAACCCATCTTAGAAGGGAAGATTTTGAGCTGCACTCCTGCATAGGAGTTCCTTTCCCTCTCTTGAGGGCTTTGCGCATGACAGACAATTGGCACCTGGACACCAGGGGTACGTGCCAGAAAATGAAACATTAAAGGTGATTTGTAACTCAATGCAAAAGAAAACATTTAAAAATTTAAAGGCAAGTTGGCGATGACACAAATAGGAGGTAAATCAATGGCAGATGCGGCAGGCAAGTTCCTTGATTTCACAAGCAAGGCCGTGTGAGTAGGGCCGGATGTAGAGCTTGTAGGCCCCCGATTTCCACCGCCCTGTCTGCTTCAGGTGTTTCACGCTGTTGCCTCAATGAGCTCTTGTCGACACACCCCCAATCCTTAGGCTATGTCCCGACCAGACTTGGCCATGGTGTCAACCATGTTTGCGCAGGAAACGTGTGTCATACTAGCGTGTCATCGGTATCTTTGGGGGGCCAGGCAGCAACGGATTGTCAGGTTTGCCTTTGCAGATGTGGAGAACAACCTGTAATGCACTGATTGGGCCTAGGCCGTAGGGTTGCTGCTGTAAGAGGAGGGGTTGGACTTCTCCTGGTGCAACTGTTTGAGACAGTCATAGGGAGATGACTGCCTTACGGTTGCCATCTTGAAAGCACACGTCTGGCCGGGGGATAAAGACAAAAGGGTGATCTGGGTTAAGAACCAGTTCTCCGAGTCGAGCAAGGCCCCAGGAGCCTGTCAGCAGCAGCGCTTGTAGGACTGAGTCAACTTTAGCCACTGTCAATAAAGATTTGCACATGTTGTTCAGGCCTTTCAAGGTGAGACCCGCTTGCTGTTGTTTGAAAACCGAGATGTGAGTCTTTGTTGCTGCCAGCAAGAGTAGGCGGATTCTGTCAACATTCACTGTAGGAAACCTGGCGTTGTGGATTAGGTGCCACATCTGTAAGCCCGTCAGGTATCGCATTGTTGTACTGCTGATGATTTTATGGTTGCCTTCTTTGATGCTGCACCAGAGAATGAAATTATAAATCATGATATCAGTAGCAGGGAAAAAATAAAACATGCCCTCTTCTGCAATGAATTTGAAGAATTTATTGACTGCGGCGTTGTATTTTTGATGGTTGAAGCGGCCCAGGCATGTGCTAAGATGTATTGGCTGCCCTCATTTAGGACTTTGAATACTTCTGGCAAGGATTTGTGGAGTGTTAGCCGGCGGATTCTAGTGTCATATCAATGATTGGGTATTGAGGGAGCAGTCTGTGTTATCAAGTTGTGAGGATCAGGGGGAATGTTGATTTGTATTTGCCTTTTCAGCAATTTCAAAGGACCCAACCCCCTTGAAAGTGTGTCAGCCTTGTTGTTGGTGGACACAACCTTGACAAGGTTAATGTTGCAGTCTAGCTGAACCAGTTCTTGTTGAATGATCTTCCAGGCTTCATTAACCCAATAGTTGGATGACTTACAGTTCCTGGAGGCACCTTCCGTAGTTGTGTTCTTGGTGAGGCAGGACAAAGACCTCCCTGCCACGGCCATGATCTGTTCTGCCATCAGCAGGCCCAGCCAAACTGCCAAGGTTTTGGCCCAGGCTATAGATCGTTTTGGTCTGTTGGGGGGTCCACACCAGCCTTCAACCCACTTGAACTGGGCCCAATTTTTTCCAATAATGATCCCTATAAAATAGTCTGTTGAGGAGTCGCCTACCCAGCCGACATTCTTAACAACGTAGTGAGTAGCTTACTAGATTTGTTTGCTATCAAATCTGAGGACACCAATCTGTCATGTTCATCAACCAAATCTTCTGATCCCAAGTTAATTGTCTTTTTCACAATTATCTTTGGCATAGTATAACTTTTAGGGATTGTCTTTCTTGATGAGGTTTTGATCGTTGAAGAGATGATTTCCAGTTCCATCAAGTCAACGGTGTCACTGTACTATACTATACTAGTATCGTCCAATACTAGTATTACTAGTATCGTCCGATACTAACATAGTACCGTCAGGACTGGTACTTTAACACTCAAGTATAGTATAGTATCGGAGGCTTGAATTCCGATACTTCCGATACTTTATGGTGATTGGTGTTTTGAGTGCACCGTGAGCAAAATCCTCAAGTTGGACATGAACAACTGCCTGTTTGTTCCTTTCTCATTAAAAAGCTTATTCAATCGTTCAACAATTGGTTGATAGAGATCACTACAGATTCCGTTCTTTTATATACATTTTATTGGAGGAGAGAGAGAACAAACTGAAATACAAATGAGAAGGAAATCAGATACAAAAATGCTTGCTCAATCACCAGGAAAGTGTGGAGCTTGATTAGTTGTTTTGTGTAGAAGACGAGCAGCTTCATAATCTGATAGGCTTCCTCAAACCTGGAGTCAAGCGGAACCCCATTGGAAATCCAAATACAACTGCTCACACAGCGCTCAATCGCTCGTGGGGCCAATTTTCCACGATCTGTAGTGCAGACATCTGCAGCAGATGAGAATGTTTGCTCCACAGCTGCCGAGCTTCCACTTACAGCAAGATACTGGCGAGCTAGAGTAGAGAGTACAGGATACTTCTCCCCATGGCTCTATGCAAAGAAACTTTATTAATCAGATCATGCATTTAGTTTGTGAGCAGAAAACCAAGAGAAAAAGCTCACCTGCCACCACTTTAATGCCAAGTGGGGGTCCATCGCAACATCCTCTGAGGGAGCATCACACCCAAGTTTGTATTCAGTCAGCTCATCAATCTCAACTTTTCCTTTTTGTGTATCATAGAGATGCAACATCGGATCATATGCATCATTGTTGCATTCAGCGCTGGAAGGTGTGTCTTTGAGTTGAGTATCCGGGGCTGGTGGTGAACTGGTCCTTTGAAGTTTCAATTTGCAAGCATAGTAGGCATCATTCAATAGTTCGTTGGCTCTAAGAGTTACAGGAGATTGAGGACCGAACCTGGTGTTGAAAAAGCTAGCTCTCCAGCTTGGATGAAGCATGGTTGCCATCAATAGCGCGTGTGATGATGTTGCTTCAGTGAGGTACTTCTTGACTCAGGTGAGCATTGCATAATGCATGGGATACATTGGAGACGCGGTGAGCTCTCTGAGGAGTTTTGACTCTAAGCAAGCCTTGAGCTTGAGGTATTCTCAAATCACCATTGAACCGGTTGGGCCATTACCTTCCATTCTTTTGGTTAGCTGAGCAAAATGCTATAGAGGAGATATTGATTAATAAACAAGTGTAGCTTGTCAAAGAGGATACATAGGAGTGCTGACCTCGAGCTCTAGGTTGACCATCTTGATCAACCTCCAATCATTGGGAGTGAAGCAGATCTTGAGGAAACACCCTTTAGTGTAGTTGATTGAGGGGTTAAGTGTATTTGTAGCGGTTTTGTAAGAAGCCGGACAATCTTTGTCATCTCGCTGATCATTTTTCAAGATCTCATCAATAATCTATGTACATTCTGAAATCGGGTTAGAATTAATGAGTGGTTGGAAGCTGGGGGCCAAAAAAGGGTACTCACATCACGTGCCTTCCAAGCACGATGTCGGCTATCCCACTTGACGTTCCACCATATTCCATAACCTGCGATCAATCCATCATACGGTACCCCTAAAGCGGCTGCAGTTGCAGCTAATAGTGCTTGCATTGAGGATGAGCTTGTGAGTTTGTGAACCACATAATCAAGCTAAAGGAACCAACCATATAATTAGCTACACAAAGATAGATACATGTTAGAGATAGAAAATCTTGCCTGCTTCAAGAGACCGTCCAGATGACGAGCAGCTTCCTGATCTACTGGAGAGGGTGGTACTATGAATACAGGCTCGTTTGTTTTTGCATAGGGGTTTGTAATTGGAACAGAACCGGTACAAGTCTCGTCGGTATACCAATTGTCTCCAACAGTTTGGCCTGGGTTGTTAAGTGGATCTTGTCGGTCATTGCAATGCATAGGATCGTTAATATTGATGCGGTTATCAGATGATTGGGGTGAATTGGTCTCTTCTGCGTGATTAGCTTCTTCCTCTTCTTCAAGACTTTCTTCAACAGCCAATAATAAATTGTTAACTGGAAAGCTCCCAAGGATTGACTTTCGAACTACTTGAGCGGGGGCTGGTGTAACTCCAAGGGCCTCAAGCCCACCGTTTACAATCAGTGACATCTTATGACAGAAGCACTTGACAACTAGGTCTTCAGGATGCCAGTTGTACTGTTCACCGGAATCTTCAGCAATCTTTGAGAGACGTCGGTGCATTGCAGTGGCCATTGTATAGTTATTTGAGCCTGAGTCTGTTGTCTGAGCAAGAAGGTGGACAAGATGAACAAAAAATATCAGTTCTTGCTAGAACATAGAAGGATTGAAAAAATCCAAAAACCACATTTGATAAGACTTATCTTTTGATAAAGGTTATTCTTCTCAAGAATACCTACCAATGGCTCAGTTAGCCATTCACCTTTATGGTACCATGCAACAAGCTTGAGTGCTAGGTGCTGCGTTTGATAGACCCAGTTTTTATCGATGTAAGTGACTGAAACGCCTAGAAATGCATACCGATTTCCTGGAGTTGTCCAGACATCTTGAGAGAGGCAGATAGTTGTATCAAGTTCCTATGAAGTTTGATAGTTTTATCAGTTGATAACATGGGCACCGATTCAGTGAAAACAAACCTTGAGTGTCTTTATCACAGATTGACTTAATGAAAGGTAAGCCCTATGAGCTTCATGAGCTGCCCAGGTTCGTCCGTACAGATGAGCTTCAGTGTTTTTGTACTTAAACGCAGCACGTGGTATGGGGTCCTGCATCCTGCTCCACGGCAGAGCTTGCCAAAGGATCCAAAACAACAAGATTTGATTTAATACCTTGTTGTCAAAGGTCCATGTTGATTGGACCGCAATGTGACCATTTCCGTTCAATTTCAATCTCCTCTCATATGCAGTTTCCGGTAGATTGATACCCGCCTCAATTGCTGTAGACCATTCTAAGCACCCAGGATGACCCGACTTGGACTCCTGCATTGATCCATCGCGATGAACCTCGAGGCACAGCCAACAAAGATGCCTCGGATTGAAAAATCTGAGGTATCATCGGACTCAAATCCTCGGACAAAATCTTTCCGAGGTTTTGATCCGAGGTATTATTTTGCGTCAAAAAATACCTCGGATCAAATCCTCGGACAAGACCTGTCCGAGGGTTTCCATCCGATGATGCCTCGGATTTTTCAATCCGAGGCATCTATGTTGGCGGTGAGGTTCTTGAGGGTATCACAACTTCCTCTAACAAAGGATCCACACCATAGGCACGGATAAGAGTTGTATGGGCCTTCAATGGGCTTTGATGGTATATTTAATAGAAAAAAAGTCAGCAATCATGGACAATAATAGATAGGGTATCACTATTGACTCACATCCTTTCCACCTCGTATAGGTGTACCATACCAATCTCTGGCATTTGCATAACTTGATACTGCCTTTCGAGGCTTCACTTTTACATTCTCTCTATCAGAGTTTTGCTCAAGATCAACATGGTGTGTTTGAAGTATGTTTGCTGAGGTTGTCTGATTAATCATGAAAAGCATATAATATAAGTGGTCTGGGATCAGACAAAAGAAAGCAAAACAGACTTACAAGTGAGGTCAATATTGCTGCCTCAGCAAGCAAATCTTTCTTGGTTTTACGCTTTTTCTTAACCTTGGGATTTGAGTTGTTCTTACGCTTTTTTGGGGTGTGTTTTGAAGTTTGAGATGAATCAGAATTGGCAGCCAATGTACCTTTTGACGGTTGTTGAGAGCAGGTTGATTGGCGTAGAGAGTTTGTTGTTGAGAAGTTGGATTTTGCAGAGGACTCATCTGAAGTCTCTCCCGATTCATCAGTGTTTTCATTGGATGATCGTGGTGGGTTCTTTTTGGATGGCATGGTGGTTTTATGAGTGTGATGATTTATTCAATAAGATGAAGATGTTGATGTGAGTTGATTCGATTTCGTGTTGGTTTGATCAGACTGATGATCATTCTCACTCCAGTTGAGACCAATCAAAAGTCACAAGGAGTTGGTTTCTTGACCAGTCAAGTTTCCAAAACCTTGTTCTATGATCCTGATCGATATATAGTTGATTTAATCGGTCGATGGGTTAATGAAGCGATAAAGTAGGTGATCATATGGGATTTGTTTTGTGGTGAGGTATTATATAGTACCACCGATCTCAAACGCAATACTCACAATACCCAGTATGAAATTTCAATTTCCGGTACTAGTATCGGGCAGTATAGTACCACAATCCCGGTACTATACTGGTACTGTACCGTGAGAGTATAGTACAGTGACACCGTTGAAATTTCAAGTTGATGCTTGTGTTTTTGAGGTTTTCGGTTGTTTTGGCTAGATCGGTTGTTTTCTCCACCACATCTTCTTTACTAGTGTTGTTGTTCAATTCTTTGCTTGTAGCTGTTGTTCTGACTTCAACATCACCACCCGTGTTCTCGACTTCTTTGTTTGGTCCTTCTTCAGCTCTCCTTGATTGCTTCTTGCTTTGACACTTTGGTACAACTTTCTTCTTTTGATTAAGCTCTAAATTCAAGTCTGATTCTGTTGATGACATATCTAACAAAGTTTGAAAAAAGGAGATGCCCTACAAGAGGGAGCTAAGGGCGAGAAAGGGGAAAGGACGGCTGGATACAGAGATGTTCTGCGAAGAGGAGAGGAAATGAAGTCTTTGGAGAAAGAAGAATTGTGGACGAGCGTGGAGAGGAGAGCGGATAAAATCTGAGCAAGTTACTCATGAGGAGAAACTTGGGGATCAAGGGGATCTTGGATTCTTCTGCTTGTGCGCCAGGCACAATTCCTCATTGTTGCTGGCCATCCGGCAACCATGTGACGCTCAGTAGCTGGTCAGGCGGCTAGCTGTTGTGGCCCTTAGTCTCCTGTACCGTGGATCAAGGTTATTCCTTGTGCCTTGTCCAAACCAACCAACCATTGACGAACGCTTTGAATCTACCATATCCACACTTACAAAGGAAGTCAAACCTACAGAGGCCCCTAATCCTGACAAAGAGGAAGATAGCAAACCAACATGCCAAATTTGCACCAAAAAGTATGAGGATGGCAATAAGGATTCCAGTTTGGCTTGTCACAGACTCTGTCCGGGGTGTCTCAAGGAAGCTAACAAACCAGCATGCAGTCCATGATCAGTCAAACACTTGAAGTGGCATGTACATATGGTCAAAGGGGGCCACAGTCAAGTTTGTGTATGATTTTGAACCTTCATTTTATTGATATTGATGAAATTGTTAGATGATCAGCACTGCTGGCAGTTTTACTCAAAAAAATTTATCACAGTTCATAAACTGTTTGATTGCGTGACTTACAATGAAGCCTTTGAGTAATGATGACAAGGTGAGCAGAGCTTGATCCTAGATGTTGGACTTGAAGCCCTCTGATTGAAATTGTTATATTGACATGTGTTTGTGAACTATCTTCATCTTGTTTGTTGTCTGACAGAGCAGAGCCACATAGCTCCCTCTTGTGCCATCCACAGTATCCATGTCTTAGTCCTCCACACTTGGGAGGAAGGTGACTTGACTGCCTGAGGGGCAGAACGGCAAAAGCCAAAATTCACATGTCTAGGTATAGAATGTGATGGCTGTAATTGACTTCAAGCATCTGCTCAAAGTTGAGGGCAGTACACCACAGGTGGAACCTAGAATCCTGTCCAGGAGTTTGTTCCAATACCATGATTGGACAATTACGCTCCTGGCATGGATAGCATACATATGAGCGGGGAGAGAGTCTCTTCAAACCCATCTAAGGGAGCAAAGGCTCTAGTGAGCCAAGACCCAGTGAAGGGGCTTGAGCCCCACTCTCATGGAGGCAAGCACAACATAGCAAAACAATTCTTATTACTGAAGGCACAAGCGTTATCAAAAACAAGAGCTAGTTACATGGTAGACAGAATGTACTCAATTAGTGTGAAGTATTCAAGTGCCGTGCTAAAAGGCGTGTACCCATCAAAATCAAAGCTGAATATTGATGGATGTAAAGCTTATAGGCCAAGGATTGCCACCTTCCCGCCTCCTTCACAGATTTCTCAGAGCAGCCCAGATTGGCTTGGAGAGATGCGCCTCCTATTTGGAGGCTGTGACCCAACCAACAAAAGCCACCCGCTGGCTGATGCTTCTTTAGGACAGATATAATGCAGGCCTTTGAGATAGGGGTATGTCTGTCAACACCTCTGAACAGGGGGCCGTCCAATCTACCTTCAGTTAATGTGATGATATTGCAAATGGCCATGATTGGGTCTAATCTGTTAGGTTGTCTCGTACGGTGTAAGAATTATTCCTCTCCTGGAGCTGCTGCCTTTGCCATTCTAATACAAATGATGGCCTTTGCAAAGTCCCCCAAGAATTTGACATCTTTCCTCTTAACAAACACTTTTGAGTGGTCACAGTGCAATGTCAGTTCCCCTGAGCGCGCCAACCCCCAGAAACCAACAAGCAAGACTGCCCGGATTGTGAGATTAGGTAGTGTGTTCACTTGTACTCTAGTGATGAGTTTTTTGACATCCATCAGGTTGAGACCGACTCGCTTGCACATTGATCAAGGTACTTTGCATTTCTTCACTGCTTTAAGCGCATAAAACAAAGTGGTATATATTGTTGGCGGAAGACGGGAAAGGAAACAAAGAAGTGTTCATAAAGGTGAAGCATTTTTTTACGGCAGCAGTGTATTGTTGAATTGTTGAAGCAGCCCATCCATGGGTCAGGATAGCTTTGCAACCATGTCTAGTTTGCGGAAAATGCCAGGTCTTTTTTGTCGTAGGAAATTAACTGAGTTTGTCATGATGTTGTAGACAAGGTAAAGACTTGACGTAAAAGTGGCTCCAAGTCTGGGAGAATCTCTATCTTTATTAGATGGTTCAACTTCTTCAAGGGTCCAAGACCCCTAGACAATTTGTCCGCCTTGTTATCCTCCGAGGTGACCCTGACTAGATTAATATTGCAATCTAACTGAGTCAGTAAATCTTGAACAATTCTCCCTTCTCAATTAACCCAAAAGTCGTGTGACTTTTGGTTCCTAGCGGCGCCTTCTGTCGTTGTGTTGTCCGTTAGGCAAGAGTACTTGAATCCTGCCATCCCAGTAGTTGTGTCTTTCAGCTTCTCTTTCAGTATGAGGATTCCCAAATGAACTGCCACGGTCTCGGCCCAGGCAATCGTTTGCCTTGGCTGGCCATTTGGCTGGTCCCAACCTTCTGACCATTGGAACTGAGCCCAGCTCTTTCACAAGATAATACCTATACCAACATTGGTAGAAGAATCCCCGACCCAGCCCACATTCATCACAATGTGGTCTGGGACAAGTTTTGTTGGGTTCAAAGTACTCAGGTATGACTTCCAATACTGCCAGTCGTCTTTTATGTTGTCTGAAATGATCTGTTTCCCTGGAGACTTCCACTTTGCAACAAAACTGAAACTTTCTACAAGGTAACATTTCAATTGCGGTAAAATCAGTGTCAAGTGGCTAAGCTTCCCATTGAATTTTTGTAATTCTTTCTTTGTGCAAGATAACTTCATTAGAAATTGGTCTAACTCTAACTTCCTTTTTGTTAATTTCTTTTCTGGTAAGTATCCAGTTTTGTTAAGGCAGTTTCACCCAAAGCCTATGAATTTCTGTTCTTCTGAAAACTTGGTGTATTTTGTCACATTCTTTCTCACACCTAAAGCTTCACTTGCTTTTACCATTTGTCACATGGTTGTTGAATCCAACTTCTTCTTGATCATCGAGTTATTGTCTACCCACCGGAAGGCTTCCAATAGCTTAAAAATTGCTTCCATCAACTCCTTCCAACCGTCTGCTGGACCACCAAAGGATCCGCAACCGCCTACTCCTTGAAAAGCAATCATAACATCTATTAGGATATACTTGTTGAAGTCTTTGATCGCCAAGCAAGGCCATTGCAATGGCTGGGTCGGGATTTGACTGTAGACGCCTTCCCAATCAAAGATTCCCATTAGAACATCCTCCTTCAACCTTCTTATAAATAAGGCCACGACTTTAAAGTCTTCCCAAGTTGTTTCAAATTCCTCTTTGTTCAAATAGGAATTAATAGATCTTATTTTGTCAACAAACCAAGGGTACAACATATCAATTATAGGAAGAAAAGTTCCATCACCGTTCTCCACAGGCGCACCTAAAGGCCTTGTTCTAAAGAATCCTAAATTCTTGTAAACTTCTTCTTTTTTGAAAGGACCATACATCCTACCTGCCATAATCTCCTCATTTATGTTTCTTTCTATTTTATTGTGTGCATTACTTGCTGAGTTATTATTTGGTGGGCAATACCATTTGTAATCCTTGACGGCGTGTTATGGGACACCTTGATGGAACCCAAAGTTGAACCCCTCCAGTAAGTAACTGTACCTTTCAAACAAGTTATACTTTTTCAACTGATATTCCCACTCTTCAACTTTCATGTCACATCTTACTGATGTTGGCCAATTCAATGTTGCTGTTGTTTCATTTACGGATCCACTACCAATATTGTTTCTCAACGACACTTGGGCTTTGTCACAATCAAATTCGCACATTGGGTCATTGATACTAATTTCATACTTATCAAATCCACTATAGAAATTCAATAGCATAAAGGAAAACAACTACATAAATAAAACAAGGACACATGTTATTCAATTAACAAACATAAACAATGATATAACATAAATGAACACAATCTAAACATCGCAAAAACCTCAACCCACGAGGTTTTCTCTTTTGATGTTGATTGTCTCGGAGGATTGTCCTCTCTTCTAATTGATGTAGACTGATTCCTGATTTATTAAATGTTTGATTCACATTAGTTCATTCACTAATGGTTATGTTTCAGTCAAAATAATAAGCTATCACTTACACTTGTTGTCCTTTTC